TGAGTGAAATTCGCTGGCATCTTAAGGCGTACTTATCTCATTGCAGGAAGCCTCAAATATCAGTCTTTTTATTATCTGACCAAGTTTTTATTTAAAAATAGTTAATATTTACGAAAAACTACTTATACCGCCACGTAGAATGAGCTTAAAATAGGATCAAAAAGCACATTTATGCTTAATAAAGTTCCGATGCAAAAGGGTGATAGTTTCGTTGTGTATCTTGCCAATTACCCTTTTCAAGGTGGTTGAAAATGTCTTACCCTTCTGGAATGCTGCTTCCTCGCTCTTCGACAACACATTGTCCCTGTTAGTTCGGACAACTTTGCTCTGCACCCTGTTCTGTCGTTTGTATAATCCTGGCGAAAGTCGTTGACGGTTGGAGCCCAATCGGACTGGAGGCTTCAGCAACTCTCTACTCTCCAAATCACTTTTCCCACGCCCTGTCCTCCCCATCTTTGGCGCCAAGGAGATTGTTTTTGCCTCATTCACTTCTTTGACGAGACCAGAATCGGCACTCGCGTCTGGCAACGTGAAAAGCGCCACAGCGACCGCCTCGACAACGCGGCTTGACTTATCTGTACCACTTGCTCGGCCATCGGGGCTCTGTTGCCCAGGGCAACCGTCAACATGTGCACCATTGCCGCCAACGCCACGTCTCACATCGCTGAGGTTGTTAGCACCACTCCTGTCTCCTGACGCGCCGGCTACCTTTGACCCGATTTGAGCGGGTGGTTCGGCGTCAATTTGCGTACCAATTTCGGTACATTTCTCGGCAGACAATCCAACCCCACTGACAGCGGTGGTCAGAGAACCAGCTTTCAAGGCGCCGTCGGCCGCGTGGTAGAAGTACACGGAGATCTGTTCTCCTTCGCCGACTCGGGCTCGGGCAGTCACATCGTGTATCCGCCTCTGCATGGCAACCTTGAAGGAGGTCATGTAGGCGGACAGTCGACATTCGCTGTCCGAGTTGGGAAGAGGATCACGCGGAAACCGAGGCCGGTGAGGAAGAGGCAAGCACACAGTTTACTTTGAGTTTACGATGAAACTATTGTCTTTGTTGTGGATCCTTTCCAATCGTATGAAGTGCATAATGAACAGATTCGTGTCTCGAT